CAAATTGCTCTGGGAAGGGTCAGCACAATCCAGACAGGCTGAGCAGCAACATCTCAGGAGGTGCAGACCTCAGAGGTCAATGGAGCTGAAGGTGAAGAAAGTGAGGAAATATCAGCTGCAGTCAAAGGTGGAAGGTAGAGATGCTGAGTCCCAGAGCAGAGCTTGAGGGAAAAGTCCAGTGGGGGAGAGAGCCCAACTGGGAAGGCAGAGATCACCACCTTGCTCTTGTGTGATGCTGCACTGCAGGAAGGTTAGGGAACAACTCACCCGTGTTATGAAACTACCACTTGAATTCCAGAGCAGGGTCCATGTCAGTAATCTTTCCATTCGTAGTCCAACTGTGTTGTCTTTGGCTTTGGATCGTGATGGAAAACCTCTGGAGGAACACCAAGTTCTGTTGTCAGTTCCCATCTTTTCTGTATTCTGTTAATGTGCCCAAACTGATTTGTAGGCACTGTTCCACCTTTCAGTTGCCATGTCAAACTCTGAATTGACTTTGGAAGTTTGAATACTTCCATTAAGTTGTCTGTCAGCTCCTGCTGACAGAGAAAAGTACATAAGCTGCAGTCAGTGGTCTGTTCCCCTCCATTCTCCTGTTAGGTATCAAATAGCAAATCAAATGTGTATGAACTCACCCTTCTGGAAAAGTATTTAATGTTTACTAAGGTGTAAGAGAAGAAATGTTGGCCAATCACAACAAGGAAGAACATGGAGAGGGTAAAAAGGGAAACACAGATACTTCCCAGGTAATAATAATTTCAAAACCCAATCATCCAAAGAAACAAACACGAAGAGAATACAGAAACTATGTTTAAAATCCAGGCATAATGAAAAATCTTAGCTAAAGTAAATTGACTCCCACAGAGTACATGTGTCAAATGTATCCTCCTGGCCCCTTCCACACAACTGCCTGATTCCTTCTCCCTCTGAAGGGTATGAAATGTTTGTGTCTCAATCTGCTGGCCTCCAAGGACCCCTGATATGTTTGCTCTGATGGTGCTTAGTCTGTGCTTTTGAACCTCTCTTACAAGGCAATTATGGTTTTCTGGAATGACCAACCATATTTCTGAGCCTCAGTCTGAAAAAGGACATTTCAGTCTAAAAACGGACTTCAGGATATTTTTCGTGGTGCCAATTGAAGGGGATGAAAAAGTCAATGTGTCATTTTCTTTATTAGATTCCTATAATAGGACTGTAACATAACCAGCCTATAATGTGACCCAGCTCATCTTTCAGCTTTGTAACCTGCAGACCCTCTAAGGGACCTGTGCTGGCCACTGTAGGAAAAAGGGACCTTCCCTTTGTATATTGAAAGGAAAATCCCATTGCTGAGGGATCAGCATGCTCACATGTGATCATCCATGTTCACATGGCGAGTACAGAAATCACTTTAGAAACTTAGGAATTTTACTTTAGTAATTTCCCCCACAAACACTGCTACTCATTAATACATTTGGTAAGAAGTAAGTTTATGGATGGAAATCCGGAAGTCAACTGGTATTGCATGGAATTTCTTCACTCCTTAGGTGTGCCCACACCTTAGAGAAGCCAAAGATAAGTCTCAACTAAAAGTGCTATTTTTCGTGACAGAAGGATTCAAGGAGTGTTCACCCATCCAAGTTTTCCTGTTTCTCCAGCCTTAGAGAATGCCAGCTCCTCTGGATTGACTATCCCGAGAATTTTGCCATTGTTTTAGTTGTTACCATGAAGTATTGGATGGCTGGCTGGAGTTCTCCCACTGCCACCAGAAGCAAGGACGGGGAATGAACACTCCCAACAAAGAGAAATCTGTGACAAAAGGTTCAGTAACACAGCCCAGTGGTGCTGCCCTGACAGGGAACAACTCTAAAGCAAATGGGAAGCAGTTTGTTGCATGAAAATCTTACTCAGCATCCCAGGAAATTCCCCACAGGAATGGGCGATGATATAAATCCTTCAGCCTGGCAAGAGAGATTAGCAGTGTGCTGGAATTAAAGATAACACAAAGCAGCATCTGGAGTAATTAGTTTTAAATATCATGTCTAATTATCTTTGAGGGAGAAGTTTGTGTGGTTTGTTCAGGAGCAAATCTGAGCCTTTCAGAGATGACACACGTGTAATTAACCACATTTTAACTCATCTAAAGTGATAAGCAAGGTAATTATTCAGATTGTTATGAAGTTAGCAAAGGGATTTTTGGTAACTACTGCTTGGTTACAGCACATTCTATGCAGTCAAATTTGAATGTTCCAGTCTTAGGGTGATGAAATCCCAGAAAGCTTTTATATGAAATAAAAGGGAATAAATGTCTTTTTGACTATGTATTTCTTCTTATCTGTGTCATAGCGTGTTGGAGAGGAAAAAAAAGTACAGCTGGCCGCCTTCTCTTCTTCTGTGAAGGAACAATCTGTAGGCCTGGATGTGAAAGCATTTAATCCTGACTAGAAAAGAGAAGAACTGACATGACAGTGAATGTTACGAAATCCAACTATTTTCCTGTTAAACTAATGCTCTGAAAACTGTAAATACATGGAGCTAAGGTCACCCCTCTTTGAGCTGAAAATAAGATGCAGAATTTGAAAATTAGAAGTAAATTCAGCTACCTAAACTAAGAACTTTTTTCCACTTCCTTGTTTTTTTCTAAAGATTTTGAGAAGACTTCTGCTGAAATACTAATCTCTATGACTTTATTTTTTTAAAGTAATTATTAAAATCTCCCAGGGTTTTTGGCATCCATATAAAATACTTCATTTAAATATAAAATGGCTCTACTAGCATTTTCTACTTCATGACCATCCCATGGCTGAAAACAGTCAGCATTGGATTGGATAGTTCAGTAGTTTATCATCTAAAAAGATGATGCTCTTGCCCAGGACTGGTGTTTATTTGCTTTGACTGCTCAACAGGAAAATATAAAAAGATATAGTCCGGATCACACTTAAAAATTGATAGAAGCTCATTAAAACTTTAGGGAAATTCTCCTTTATAAATAGCCCGGTAGGAATCAGGGAAAATAATAAATATTTCTAGCAATTTGTGGATGCAAAAAATTCTGTGTGAATTGAGGTGGAATTTAGCAAGATGCCCTTTGGGGAAGAAATGTTTGACAGGAGATTCCCAGAATTGTAGACATAGAGGTGAAGCAGCATCCCAGCAGGGGCAAAGGATAAATCATTCCCCTGGCTGTGGGAAATCTGAGATGTTTTCTTCCTCTGTCTCACAAATTGAAACCTACTTTTCCTACTTGCTATTTCATAGCTTAATTACTGGACTAGAGGATACTTTAGAGTGATACATGGGTGTTATCTGTGGTTGATACTATTTTAAGTAAACAAGCATTGGCTAATATTAATCTGAATTACAGCTTTCTTACCTCTTGCATGAATGCCACAATCCCTAAAAATAGTGTCAGTTTCTTGCTGTCTTTTTCTCACTTTCAGTGAAAATGGAAAAGAGACTAAGAAAAGAATCTCAGGAAATACAGTAATAGGATTTTTTTTAAAGTTTTTTACTTAAAGCTAGGTAAATAGGTTTATTTTCACCTAATTTCTTGGCAAAAATCATGTATTTAATAGGAAGCATTTGCTTGTGAAATTTTGAATTTGGAATTTGCGTAAGTACAGCAATAACTAGTAAGTTGTCAGGAATCCTATTCTCAAACCACCTTATTTTGGTAGCTGTGATAGTATTTCCTTTCCCTGAGGTCTGATTTGCACAGCACACTATCCAGCTACAATTTCATAGGGTTTTGGTGAAGACTACTCATCATTAAGGTATTTTCCACTGGAATTCCAAATTTAAAGATGTATTTTACCAAACCTAAGTAAACACCACTAAATTAAACAAATCCTCTGTGCCAGCTGGAAATGCATGCAAGGCTTTCATCGTTTTTTTTTGCCTTTAAAGAGTTTTTGCTCTCCCTGCCCCCTCAGACTCTTCTCAGAGTAGGTATTTTATCTGCATTATGGACAGAGTTCTGTTGTTCTCTGCTTTTTGTGCTGTTTGCAACCAGCAAATCCCACTATTCAAACTGTTGTGCTGAGTTGTTTATGTCTCATGTTGGCATAATGACAATTGAACACATCACAGGCATGGCCGAGCCAGAGCTTTGGAGTCCTGGAACAACACTGGGCTCGTGGCTGCCAAAGCCCTCCTGCTCCCTGGAACCCTCCCTGCTCAGCTCAGGAGCGAGATCGCTTTTGAACTCCCACAAGAGAAGAGTTATCTGCTCACTAAAGAGAAAGAACAGCCCCAAAATACATTTCTATTTAATAAAGAATCCTTTGTCTTTTTGTGTGTAAATGTTGTTTTGCTTTCTGTGTTGAGTTACTGCAGTCCAGAGTACAGGTAGGCTGGATGTGCCACCAAAAGGGCCCAGAAACATTAATGGAATATTATATTAGAATATTGTATAATAGACATTACTAGAAATTACGTAACATGGAGCCATTTAAATTATCCACATCTTTGTTGATGGTGGAAGGGTGGCCATGTGCTACAAGGCTGCAGCCTAGGAAATTAAGATTCCCCTGTTTGTTCCTCAGCTGACCTGTTACTGTGACACAGTTATTGCTTTTATCTCTTTGCCAACTCTGCAAAATTATGTTTCAATGTCAGGGGGTGCCAGACACTAAATTAATGATAAACCCGGTCTTTATATTAAAGACAGTAGAAAAGGTGAAGTTATAATGATTTTATTATCATTATTAAAATCAGTTTAAAATATATAGACAATGAGATATCTGAAATCCAGAGTTCCAATATATTTCATTTTCTGTACCTGTGAGGACTTAACTCTTAGAGATGTTGTTCTGTGTTGATCTCTACATGAAATCCCAGTTTGGATGGATTAAAAAGGTGTGTGTGGGAAAGAGGAGTAGAAAGGCCACGTGTACTGGGTGTGTGGATTTGCTGAGTTTATGAAACACCAAAGACAAGAAACAAAACGACAGTATGAGATCATTTGGGTATAATGTGGTTTCTCTTCTAAGCTTTCTGTTTTGTTTTGCTTTATTTTACAGTTTGCCCAGCTGGTGTCTGTCTACAAAACTTTGGGTCCTGAGAAGTTCCCTTTAATCGAGCAAACGTTCTATCCAAATCACAAGGAAATGGTACGTGCAAATAGCAACACTAAATACAATAAATACACTTCCTGGCTGTGTAAAACAGGAACTGTAACACACCATTCCTTTTTCCCGTTTACTGTCCATTTTAAAAGCCATGTGAAAACCTTTCAGGGGGATGAGGCTGGGCGACCACTGAAAAGCATTGTGATGGTGAGCTGGAGGATTCTCAGATGGGAAGGCAGTAATTTTTCAGCTAACCAGCTTCACATCTTGAAGAGATTAAATGCTGGTAAAGACACTGAACAACCGTTAAAGTGCAAGAGTTACTTCTATGGCTTGTTTTCACCCCAGTTCTTTATGATATGTTCAAAGTGTTTATTGTCTTTGGAGATGATGCACAAGGCTGTGTGCTGATTAGTGTAGAGCTTTGAATTCACCTAAAATCAGGGTGGTTTTTACTTTTGATCTTCATGTACTTGATTCAACATTGATTCCCAGTCCCTTACAGACATAAATGCATTCTTAAAAATAACACATATGACCTTTACTCATGACCTGTGTTATGCTACGGTCATTTTTTTCTTATTTTTCTTAGGATTTCTAATCAGAAATTCTTTCCTGAGTATATTTCTCGAGAGGAAACACTGAGAGAGACTGGAGAGAGGCTCTTTGCTGATTGAATAGCCTGGCAGAGAAGCATCAATTATTGTAGAATCTAATCCATTCAGTATATGTCCCACAGCTGGGATTCAAGTACTGCAGCAAGGTCAGGATATATCTGTGAGTCAGCTGTTTGTGCAAGGTCCCTAAGCTGTCACTGCTGTGAGTCTGTCCTGAGACTCTGGCTGGCACTTAGTTACCATAGGTGGGACCTCAGGTAAGCCCCGGGGACAGCAGGTGACTGAGATCCCTTCTGAACTCTTCCTTCTCCCATGTCCGCCTCATCCTGTGGTAACAAACACAGTATGGAGCAGTTCTGCTGTATTTTTTGCAAGAGTGCCAGGATGGCTCTTCATCCTGCTTTTCCAGCTCTCTCTGGTTCCTTTGGATTATGAATTCACAGATGTTTCCACTTCTCTTGTCGTATATGACACTTCTGAGAGGAGATTTCACCACAGTGAGGTGGCACACAGAGGTTTCATAGAGCCAGAGGTACTGATTTGGAGCAGCAGGTCTAAATGTTGTCACAGATGGTCAGATCTTTCCAGAGGGAAAAGGGGTTCTGTTGATGGATCTGTCAGGAAAATATACAATGCACAGGAAGTGTTTTTTGCCTTGGGCGTTCCTTCATAACCGGTAGAGAGGCAGAACCACATCTCATTTTGCAAGATGCTTTTTTAAATAGTAATAAGGTTTTAGATCTATTTTCCTAAGAATATCTGAGATATTCTTATCTGGTTTGTCATTTCTTGCTTGCAGTTTATTGTTCTTTCTTGGTTATTTTATTGCCTATTCAGGCTCCCCAGGGAACTGGCCATGGCATCTCACCGAGCCTGTCAGGGTTCAAGGAGCATCTGGATGATGCTCTTGGGTGTATGGTTTAGTTGTAGGCAGCCCTGTGGGACTCCATGACCCTTATGGGTTCCTTCCAACTGGAGATAGTCTACGATTTTATTGAAAAAGCAGGTCTTTTGAATGCCTTACTAAATTGCAGTACATAGAAACAAAGAGCATATCCTATAATTTTGGGGCAAGAATTAATGTTTTAGATTTATAAGTTTATATGGCATATTTTGCTGTGGAGTGTAACAACTGTGTCAGTGGTTTCCCCCCCTTTGTTCCCCTACATGCTCATTAAAGTCTAGGCTACTAAGTTATTTGCCTTTTGTTTGAACTTGTGAATGTTGTTCTCCACAGCTGAGTAATCTTCTTCACATATTTTATGTAATGAATGTTAATCTAGAGAAAATGAACACGTTTGGGTATCGCATTGCCATATGTGGCTTACAAGTACTGCAATAACTGACTCTGATGGGGCTCATTTCTTTGGTTTTATTCCTTCTGAAGAAAGGATTTGGAACTCTGTGGCTTGGGAAATAATCAGGCAACATGGTACAAGATAACACTGCATTCAGATTTCTAGAATGGGTTCTAAGATGGTCTGGATACCAGTCTTCTGTTGCTGAACTGAAAACATATCATGCTATTTATTTTTTGTTTCATTTTTTTAAACACTTTAATAACAGTAGGCCTTGTTTGCTTATACAGAATTCAGAAATTACAGTTTAAAATATTTTTTCTGTAGTTCCTCTTGTGTTTGCTCCTTCCTTTCTTACTCCCTAAGGGGAAACGTGGAGCCCTCCCTCCCCTGCAGTGCAAACCAGCCCAGGGGAGACGGGGGAGCAGGAGAAAGCCCCAAGTCTCTGGGAATTGAGGGCTCAGCTGAGCGTGCCAGAGGTGTGCCTGTGTTGGGCTTTCCTCTGCTTCTTTCATACTCTGCTGATCATTTGTGCCGAGCCTTTAGCCGGCAAAAAAAGGTAAATAAACAAAGATGCCATTCTTTTGTGTAAAAATGGAGCTGCTTTAATGAAACACTTTTTGAAACAGAAACATTCATCCCAGACTGATTATACAAAACGCTGTAAGGCTTTTGAACTCATTGGTAGTTGAGTCATATCTACAGCCTTTCCCTCAGTAATTAGTTCCCTTTATTTCACTGCATTCCCACCTCTTATGTTCTCTGTCATGAAAAAAAAGACAACACGGCTTTTTCAACACAATTGTTGAACAATTTAATTAAAACTTAACTTGAACATTGAGAAAAAGCCAGCAATATTCAAGGTGGTGTTTCCTCCCCATTGATCTGTACAATCTCCCTTCTCTCTTCTATTCCCTAATCTTATCATAAGTTGTGTGAGTCATTTTCAAATTAAAATCAAGTGTTGTGCCAGGCTATATTCCTGCTCTAACCTTTCATATAAACACATAAATTTTCAAGAAGTAAAAATAAAGTGTTGTAAAAATAATCTGCTGTAGATAATATATCAATGCCACTACAGTAAAAACCTTGATAGGAAAATAACATATTGATGATGCCGCATTGTAGTCAAGCCTTTTCATAATCTTTCTCAGTGCTGAATCTCGGGTAAAATAAAAACTCATTCTGAGAGGGGTTTTTGTAAAGCTTTGCTTGCCATATTTATTGATACGAGGGAGAAAAATAATCTTTGTACCACCCGTTGTGGTAAGTTTGTTCAGATTTATGCTCAGCCAGAAATCAAACTCGACAGCCATGAACTGTGAAACACCTCATGTGGGATATTTTATGGCAGGACAAATATAAAATGTGTTTAAAACTAATTATGGCATACAATTTGTATTACAGTCTGTTCATAAATATAAAAGAAAACATTTACTTGTACAAGGCACACAAAGAAGACAATCTGTGTCGCGTGAGTTGAGTTTAAGGTTTAGTTACTCTAAAACTGAAAGAGAAACAGAACTATGTTGAGTTAAAAAGCAGAAAATATCTGTTTGCTGCAGAGTGCTGTTCAAAAGACAGCATCACATCAAAACGGATTTGGAAACAAATGCTACACTGGACGTGTATTGAATAATAATCAGCCCTGTGCTTGATTCAGACATTGTGTGGTTATTAAACTCTCATGGGCTTCTCTAGGAATTGTTTTGATTTGACATGAGGAAATAAGGCCTGCCTTTAAGTCTTTCTTTAAATTAGTAATATGAATGCACAGGACTGTTAGTAAACAGCACTGCCAATATTTTCACTGCAATATCAATTCTTTTTGGAAGAAATGAAGCCGTTTTATTCTTTTTATTTCATTTATGTAAGTAGCCATAGTAAATCTATGGTCCAAATGAATAGTGTTTGGTAATTTTAGTTTTGTCTTTATAAATACATGGTGTTTTAATTTAGGATTGTAAATTAAAATAACAAAACTGATTTACAGTGCATAAAAAGTGAAACATTAACTTTTATATATTATAGGACATATATTCCTCAAAGAAACAATGATGTGCCTTCCTGTTGGCCTTGCACCATTTGCATTTCATTGGAAATGTATAAATTTAGCCACAGAAAAAGAAAACAACGATAGTTATTCTCAGAAGAGTGTTTTGAAACCTATCCTTTAAATATGCATTTGTGCAATAGTCAAAATAAACATTAAAAAGGTGAAAATGTGTCACAAAAATAATTTGTGCAGTGAGGTTTCTTTCAGGTCTCTGTTATTTATCCAGTGCATCATACTTTAGTGAGTTCTGTGTTGCATGGGACTTGCTGAATTTCATGGCCAAACTACTACCTCGTTGAATTGATGGCATGAGAGATGTCTGTGCACTTAAAGATGTGCACATATTATTTGCAAGTTCAAGTCCCGGTGGTTTTATTAGGAGTCTGTAGCAAACAGACTGAAGGAACTATCTGGAAAACCCGTGAGCAATAATGTGATGGCTCTGACTGAGCCCCCAGGCTGGGAATGTCACCCTGGGGTTAACAGGAGCCAGTAAAGGATGTTAACCCTTTAAATAGACCTGATCCAACCAAATGAGAGCAGAACTGTCTAAATCTCTGCCTGTGTTCTAAAGTCTCATGTAAGGAACACTCAAGAGTAATTCTAGACAAAATTGGAATGAAGTGAAAGAAATCCAATATAGAAAATTGGAGAGAGTAAAATACATCAGAGATGGCAGCTATTAGACATTCCCACCCTGCGTGAGGGTTCTCCCCCAGTTTCTGGGACACAAGGAGCTGGACAACTGTCTGAACTTTGGCATTTACTGAAATAGTTTCTGAAGTTTCACCACTGTGAATTTAATTACCTTTGTAAACTTAGATATGTGTGATATTAGCTACTAGCTACAGGAATCAATTTGGAAAAGTTAAGGCATTAAAAAAGTAAAAGGCTAAATGTGTCTTAACGCTTCTCTAGTACAAGTTCATGAGCAGCCAAATTCATTGTGACAGACTACAATGGGTATTCATGAATGAAAAATCATTAAATATGGTCAAATATTTGAGAGCTTTCAGAAATCACTTGCTGTGTAAGTGCAGTATCTATTGCATATGTTTTCACATGAGTTTC